CCCCAAAACCCCAAAACCCCAAAACCCCAAAACCCCAAAACCCCTTTTAGATCTGCCTGCTTGGAAAATTATTTAGACATTAAAGAGAATTTATGTGCATTCTCTCATTCTGGGAATTCTTTGGAGAAGTAAGCCAGATGTTGCCCAATGAGGTTCTCTATGTCAATGATTTCTACATCTTTAAATATAGAGTCCTGAAAGAAGGCTTGGAAGACCTCCACGATACTGCTAAGAACCTGAAGGTCCTTATTGAAATCTGAGCTCTCTCTCAATGTATCATGAGATTGAGGAGTGATCAGAAAGTTTCAAGCATTAGAGATACAGCCGAAGGCTATCTCTGAAGGCTTTAGCCTTCAGAGATCTTTGTTGACTAGACTCATCTTTGCATATTGTATCGAGGCCACTTCTAGACATGCAAATAGTTGGTTGCTCTGATCATCTCCAATTATGGTTTTTACGATCAACAATATGGTTGAAATGAACTGAAAAGGAGTAACTATATCGTATTGAAAGTCAAGAGTATAAAGAAGATCATTTTCTCATTTCAGAATATTGGTCTGTCAAAATATATTATGGGAGATGTTCTCACAGACCTCCTTCAGACTCAGTCATTGGTAGTCCAAGTACTTAGAAGCAGAGAAAAGACAAGTTATTCCAATCAAATGGATATCTGCATCATCAAGGATTTTATCAGTAAGTGAAAGATATTTGTCAAAAAGATACACTGCATGGAAGTAAGTGTCTTCTCCTTTATTTGTAAACTGAGCAGACTTCGATCATCCAGTCTATCATCCTTGATCTCATTTGCGGGACTATTTCATGATTGGCTAGTGGAGCAGGGAAGCTCTCTTCCTTTTCAATCAGAGTCTTCAAGATTCTCATTCCTGATGAATTGAAGAGTTTCATACTAATCTTGCTGATCATTGGGTCAGACTCTTCTGCAAGGTAAGTAATCGTAGTCTTGGCAGTGCTTATAATCTTCCTAATTTTCCTTCGTTTTCTCAGAGTCGATTCTAAGCCACCATGGGATTTAGTATTCTTCGAATTGTGAGTAGACTTATTCTCAACACTGATGAGAATTTCATCTTCAGCTTCAAGATCATTTGTAGAGATCAGGTCCAGACCCTCACTGTCCTCATCAGCAAAGAGGTTCAGAGGCTTGATTGAATGTAGGATATCCACTCCTGGTTTGTTTTCCTTTAGACCCTGACAGTGGTCTGGATTTTGCTTGACAATTTTTACTTGGTTTGCAGCTAATGATTTTTGAGTAACATCTTCTAAAATTCCCTTGGGCCTCTTATCGCCCTTTTTCTTACAGACTTTCTTAGCCTTCTTCTTTATAGTAATGTGAGCATCCCTGATGCTAGACACTGAAGCGAGGTATTCGTCTCAGAGTGACTTTTTGGAAATTTCCCTTTTCCTTTGATGCTGAATTTTCTTCATTTACAAAAATATTTATTGAGAATCAGTATTTTGAACTTATAAGGGGTTTTGGGGTTTTGGGGTTTTGGGG